CTTTAACTGAATCTCCCCCCTCAAAACACAATTAATAATAGTGATGATAATGAAAGAATAAATCAAATAATGAAATCGCATCAATAAGGAAAATGACAGGACCAGCCTGCAGTGTAGTGCTAAAAGCAGCTGGACCCCACATGGCTGGGTACATGTGTGTGTATGCCTACAGGTCTCAAATCAGAGAGGAATGGAGGAGGAGAAGCATCACCACTCCCAGTGGGGGGTGCTTTATCACTTTCTCGCTCTCTCTCTGGCAAGTGCATATGCCCTCTGGCAAATAAAAAAGAAGAAAATTATTTTTAAATAACTGGCCATTTATTTTCCAGGGACAGTCAAATACTATCAATAAAATAAGAAACAACATGAAAATGTTATCACAAATAGGTAGCTATTTGACCTTACAATGTTTTAAGTATCATGGAAAATTCCAAAATGCAAATAGGAAGATGGACCAAATAAATTAAGTAACAGCTCACTAACACTGTCCCCGTAAAGGCAGGAGGTGGCATAGTAGTTAAGGTGCTAGATTCCCACAATGTTAACCACAGTTTGAGACCAGGGCCTGGCGGCTTGAAACTCATGCTGGGTACCTGGGTGTGTGTACCCAATACTCCAAGAGGAATATTGAGGAGAAGGAATTGCAGCATGGCCAAACCCCTGGGGAGTGATATTCCACTTTTTCTCTCTCTGTCTCTCTGTTTCTCCATAAATCACACACACCCTATACCAAAAATCTCTTCCCCTTAAAAAAATTCTCTTAAACATATGGGCAAATAATTTTACTCTTATTAAACTAATTTGTAGTTCTAAGTAAAATATAATTTATAAATACACATACTCATTAAATAGGTAATGAAATTGCCAATGGATAATGTGAAATGCATCATTCGTATATGTTTTTCTTAGAAGAGAAACAAAGAAGAAAGAGCAAATATCATAGTTTTAGAGCCCTTAAGAGACTCAGGCTTTAAAAGTATAAAACAGAATAAAGAAAATAAAATCCTAAAATTTTTACAAAAATATAAATGGGCAAAGATAAGTAGAATCTACTCAAGGAAAAGAAAAGGATGGAAGAAGATCTTCTGATGGTTACCAGGATTTATTTCAAAGCTATAATAACTAAAAATACTCATTAATAATAATGATACTTCAATGACATACAAGAAAGAGTTGTAAAACAGATAAATTATTGATGAATTTTTGAAATTGAATTATTGTATCTAATTATTAGGTATGTCCTTGCCCCTTAATTTTTTTAAAGAATTATTTTACTTAACTTTATTTTATTCATTCGTATATTTATTTATTTATTCATTTATGTTAATTTTACCAGAGAGGGACAGAGAGAGAGAAAAAGTGAGAAAGTGAGAAAACAAGCCACCAGGTCCAGGACTTGAACCATGGTCAATCATGTGGGAGGCCAAAGCCCTTAACTACCATGTCACCTACTGACCTGCCCCTTAACATTTTATATCTCATTTTTGGTGGAATATATTTTTTGGTTTCGAGTTATGAGCTCAGTTATGGTGATCAGGTCATTAACATGATGGCAGAAGAGAAAGTGTTAGAGTTCTTAGCTTAGGCTTTAAGAGAACGTGAACATTGTTACTGTGCCTATTGGTTTTCTGACCTTTGCATAAAACTAACAGCCAATTAACTTAAACGTGATGAAAGACAAGTAGAGCAATGCATACCAAGAGAAATGTGACATGAAGCCAAGTTCTCTTATTCTCCAAAACCTGAAGCAGATACACCTTAGGAGAATTGTAAATTAAAAACAAAAATATTCAACCTTTTAAGTCATCGACTGTGGATGATTTTTAACAATTACGGAAGTTAAGTCAGCAGGTCGCATGGTGGTTAAGGTGCTGGACTCTCACATGGCTGACAGTGATTTGAGTCCTGGATCTAAAATCTTGCTTTCTCACTTTCCCTCTCTTTCTCTCTCTCTGTGTCACTCTCTGATGAGAGACGCATAGCACATTTTTAAAAATAATAATAAGTATAATTAAATAATTCTTTAAAAATGAAGAATTATTGTAACAGCAGTTAAGCTAGCACTGATAAGAACATATATGTATATGGACACTTCCTCTAAAACAAAGTGGGTATTTCAGAGCAGTAAAAAAGAAAGTATTTTTTTGAGTAAATAACGTGACAGTGGAATATAAGATTAGATAACAGATAGATAATAATAATGTATCCTAAGGAGTGTCAGTGTTGACTGCAGGTCTGTTATAATAGGGTTGTGGGGCTTTTGCTAAGCTTGACTCAACTTCCCATGCATTCTCATTCCAGGACCCAGGTTGAAGGAACATTCCCTATTTGCCATGTGCTGTTCTCCAGGTAGAAGCCATAAGCCCAGGAAGAAAAGATTCACACCATGCAGAGGCATTCAAAGCTTTTCTATAATGTACCTTACAACAGATTCACTCCCTTTGCATTGTTCAAAGAAATTCAGATGAAATTATTCTCACTACAAGAAAGCACAAGAAGGATGAGAGAATAAATAACATGAACAGATAAAACACTCTATCATAAATCAAAATGGCACATCATCCACAAAAATGAATTTTAAGTAATGCACAGAATTAAATATGAAGAACCACAAATAATCTCATATGCAGTGTAGAAGAATGTCTTCTTCCTGACCTCAAGAGCAGATTAAGTAATCGTGGTTGTGTTGTCACTTATCTGAAATGTTTGGGACCAGAAATGTTTCAGATGTGGGAAATTTTTTTGAATTTTGGAATACTTAGAAATACATAATAAGATATTTTAGGGGTCTAATCTAAGTCTAAACACAATTGTGTACACCTTATACACATAAAATATTTTACACAATATTTTTGTATTGTAGTTTTTTTGACTTACCTGTTACATGATGTCAGAGGAGGAATTTACTTGTGGCATGTTGTTGCCACTCAAAAGTTTTGAATTTTGGAGCATTTTGGATTTTAGATTTTCAGATTAGGAATCCGTGTGTTCAAATTCAAACCTATTCTTTTTCTAAGGACACTAAATAAAAAACAGTCAAAAGTAGGAAAATATTTTAAGGTAAATAGCTAGCACAGGAATACATATGTAATACACAAGACATTTTCAATAAAATAAGAATAAAGAGAAGTAAATCAAAACATGTTTGGAAAAGTAGTATGCAAAAGTACTTTAGGGAAAAAAGTCATAAGCATATTAAATGTGCCCTATCTCAGTAACTATAAATATTCAAGTTAAAGCTACAATAAAATATTTTGTTTAATAAATAAGTAAAAAGATGAAATGTAATAATGCTGAAAATTGGTGAGGAATGGGTCATAAATTTGAAGCTTCCAAATATTGCTGTTAGAAATATAATTCAGTGAGACCCTTTTAAAAAATTGAGAGTTAAATAAATGCACAATAAACCTGTGAACCTCATTCTAAAACTCCTTATGTGCAGTGCAATGGTTTTATATGTGTGTGTGTGTGTGTGTATATATATATATATATATAATGTCCTCCATAGTAGATTGCATTAAAGAAAAATGCTGGAATATAACTTAAATAGGAGTAAAATTGAATAAATTATAAATACATGGAACATGAATGATTTGTAAATTTATATTATTATTTATAAAAGACAAATGCATGGGATATATACTGTGTAATTTCCTTCATGAAATCATAAAGTCTGCATAGAGAAAATGTTTATTTGAGTTTCTTGAGAGGCATGACCAGATAGTGAATCTACGTGAAAAAGCAAGTGCCTCGCTATGACAGAGGTCATTCTTTTGTCTATTCTGGAAGAGAAAGAATGGGATTCATATTTGGCCGTGGAATGCTGGTTCTCTTTGTTGATCTACATGGGCTGCATATGAGTATTTAAAAATATCCAGTACACTTCAAAATTAAAATGATATGAGAGGCTTAAGAAAATAGCATATTTTGCAATGAGTTAGGTATTTTTGGAAATGGAAGTTTAAACTCCTGGCAAAATCTAAACTAGAGAGCAAAGCTGATTTTATATTTTAAAAATCCATAACAGATCATTTTGATGGTTTATATAAGGTTAAAACTTTAAGAAAGTAGGCTACTTGTGTATGAACGTCTGAAGCCTGACTTAAATACAATGATAAGTCAGGCAGCAGAGACACGAATAGAAGACTTATTTTAGAGATAAAAACAACATGAACTGCAGACAGATTATTTTTTTAGTAATTTTGCAATAGTGAATAATGGTTTCTACTTTGTTTAAGTAACTGAATAGTTGTGGGTATCATGTCCTCATAGGGAGAAAACTTGTGGGACGCATACATGTGAGAATGCTGATTGAAAAGTACATGTGACTAAGATTGAAGTTTCTATCACTCTGTAATGGGCATAAGTATTTGTTTCTTATTGTTCAGCATTATTTCAACAACTTCTTTGAATTATATTTCACTGATACTTAAAAAATGTGTATTGCATATAGGTAGTAGATAATATTTTCAGAAACTACTTGCTGAAAGTCAAATAATATTAAATAATATTTTTCATCATGTAAATGTCAAGGTCGTCAGTTTATCTTGAAAATAAAGTTTTAAGGTAAAAGTTGTATTTTATAGAAATTGCCAAATCAAGTGGATTGGTTATAAAAACTTTGAGTATAGAACCGTTAAAGGCAGTTCACATTTATGTTTGCATCAATTTTATTAAGCATAATTTAAAATTAAATTATGACATAAATAGTGAGTTCCTAAATAAAGATTTCTTCTTCTTTCTGCTGACTTCTATAACTTCCAAAGGGAGACAGTGAGATATATTTCTTGCTAAAATCAACTGAGACAAAAGAAAATAGAGTGCTTTTTATCTACTTGTTAGACATCCTGAACACTGAAAGACATGAAATATTGCATTGATTTTAACATATGATCATATATACAATAAAGTACAAAATAAAGCTTAACTATCATCAACAATGTATATGAAAAATTGACTATATAGTAGTTAGGACATAAATAAATGTATTTTTATTTGAATTACATGGAGTGAGAATATAGTTTGGAGTTGATTAATCTCTTGACTGTCTCTTTCACATCTTTGTTCCTAAGGCTGTAGATGAGGGGATTCAGCATGGGGATCATGACTGTAAAAAGCACAGTAGCTACTTTGATGAAGAGCCATGAGCTTTTAGAGTTCGGCACACAGTAGAGAAGGAGGATGATCCCATGAAAGATGGAGATAGCAGTCAGGTGAGAGGAACAAGTAGAGAAGACCTTACGGAGTCCACCTGTAGAGGGCATCCTGATGATAGTGATGATTATGAAGACATAGGAGGCCAGAATGATCAATAGGCTGCAAGTCTCATTGAAAATTGAAATGACTAAACAAACCATCTGGCTGAAGATAGGATCAGAGCAAGATAGGGAGAGGATGGCAGAGTACTCACAGCCAAAGTGATTGATGATGTTAGGTCCGCAGTACGATAGCTCCCAAAGAGAATATGTGATTGTCGTGGAGCAGAGTGCACCCCATAAATAGGTCCCAGCTACGAGGAGAGCACAGAGCTTGCGAGACATTGCAACTGTGTAGAGCAAAGGGTTACAAATGGCCACGAACCGGTCATAGGCCATCACTGCTAACATGAACATTTCTGTAATTACAAATGCACAAACAAAAAAAAACTGTATCATGCATCCTTTGAAGGAGATACTTCTGTCATCCACAATCAAAATTTCCAACAGTTTAGGTGTAAACACACTGGAGTAACAAATATCTAAAAAAGACAAGTGGCTAAGGAAAAAGTACATGGGGGTATGAAGTTTGGGATTGATCCTTGTGACTATAATTAAGCCAAAATTTCCAACCAGAGTGACTGTGTAGATTATCAGGAACACCAGGAAGAGGGGAGCCTGGAGGTGTGGATAGTCTGTGAAACCCAACAGAATGAACGTTGTCACAGAGCTCTGGTTTCCCTCCTCTAGTATCATGATGCTTGACAAGGAGGGAGGAAGGGCGGGAGGGAAGGAAGAAAGGACTGAAGGATAGAAGAGAGAGAGGGAAAGGAGGGAGGAAGGAAAATTGAGTAGCAGAACCTGAAAAGATGTGGTGAGAGGAACTCAACAGAGGCTCCACATAACCGTGAAGATATTGTGATCATTTTGTGTTTATGAACATGCTGCCTCACTTTGGAGTTTTACTTGTTAACTTGCTGTCTTTTTGATTATAGGAAATAGCAACATCCTGTAGAACTTTGGCTTCCTTATCTGAAAACATAAAAATATATTCCTTATCAATATTAATATTTTATATGAATCATATGTTAATGAATATGATACTTAGAACATTGATTACTCCACAATAAAAATACAATCATATAATAACAAAGGAGACATGAGCTAAATCAGAGATGCATTAAGTAGATAGAGTAGTTATCTATCTACTGTGGGGGAAGAGCTCTCTATTTATGACCATGGGAGAGGAACCCTTAGGAAGAGCAAATACTTTTACTATGTCATGAAAAACATAAGAGTGGGGTCAATAGGTCACTTGGTGGTTAAGCAGGTAGAATCCCGCATGACTAACCATGGTTTAAGTCCTGGACCCAGCAATTTGAAAATCACACTGGGCTCTTGTGCATGCATGCCCAAAATTTCAAGTCAAGAACAGAGGAGAAGGGATTGCAGCAGGGTTGTGGTGTGGCCAACTGCCCAGGGAATGATATTCCACTTTACCTTTCTCTATCTCTTTCAGGCTAGTGCACACATGAAATGGCAAAATACAAAAACAAAAAAAGTAAGATAAACCTAATATTAGATCTATTGGGGGGAAGATATATCTTTTTAGAAATTTACAATTTTTTTATATTGATATATTGAAATTTTACCTATCTAAATATATATTATTATCTCAAACTCATAGACTATTACTTGAAAGGATCTTTAAAAATAATAAAAAATTCACTGTTTGAGAACTATGTTCTATTAATTATACACTCAATATATGGTCATTTATAAGATTAAAAATGTTCAGTGTGATAAAACTGTACTTGACCAATTTGGGAGGTATTTTTAAAAGTTTTACAGTAATTATTTCTATTTATTATACAGTCTGATTGCAGTGCATATTTCATTAAAAGAACACTTATTTATTAGTGATAATAAAACATGAAAATACAGCACTAAAAAAGGTTTTTTGTTTTTTGTTTTTTGTTTTTTTCCCAGAGAGATTTTTGCTATAGGGCACAGCCAGAAAGACAGAAAGCAAGAAATCAACCCCCACGGGCTATGGCCACAGCTCCTCCATTCTCCTCTCAGGATTTTGGACACTCACGCACATGTGACAACATAAGTTTCAAGCCACTGGGTCAGGGTTTCCAAACATAGTTGACACGTGGGAGTCCAGCAAAGCAACCATTAAGTCACCTGCTGGTCCCAAAAAGTAACTTTTTAACAAACTAAGCAAAAGTCTTCATGTAACAAACTTAGGTGTGATTGTCAAGTAAATGTGACGAATTATGTAAGATTTAAATATATAAACTCTGTTTTTGTTAAAGCCGATAGGTGTTCGAATAATATAAATTTTACATGGTTAAACCTTGTAAAAGACTTATTCCAGAAATAGATGTAGAGACCCAATAGATATGATGCTGTCTTCTTGAACATATCTGTGAATTGATATAACTTTTATCCTTGTCCATAGTGACAGCTTACCATCGAATCAACCTTTACTAAGTCTAGGCACAGGGCATCAGGCATGAAATCAAACTTTCCATTGAAAAGAAGATTGGAGAAGTAGACCAGCTAGGTGGTGTAGTGATTAAGGCAACTGGATCCTATGCTCTATTGTGCGGTTTGAGTCCTGTGGCTTGGAAAATATGCCAGATGTGTGTGCATGCATGCCTAAAAATTCTGAGAAGAGAAAAGAATGTAATTTCTCACTTTCTTTTCCTCTCTCTATTCTCCTCACTGCTGTCTCTCTCTCCAAAAAAAAAAAAAAAAAGTCATACTGAAAAGTAAATATTAACAAAGAATTAAAAAGAAACTTTCAAAATATCTCTCCTGCTTTATTCTCACTGTCATATTAGACACAAGGTTCTTTGCTGGTCTATAAAACTACAACCAGACTATATTTATATCGAATAATAACTTAAGTGGTATTGACAGTGCTTTATTATAAAATGCAACAATTTGAAACTATTCTTAATAGATTTATATAATATTTTCCCCCAGAAAAATGCATAAATTATTTTGTCACTAAACATAATGCTCCATTCATATCAGTATTTTAAAATTTTATTCTGTGGAATAATTATGTCTTCTTTTCTACAAAAATGGCCCTTCTTCTTGTCCACTGTTTTATAACACATATCTTTCAATGGCAATTTCCCTATAAAGCTCTTCCATCAAAAATGTTCTGGACAATCCAAAAATCACTATTCTTCTGTTCTTTTATTATCACATTTCTATCATCAAAATATTTTTAAAGAAAATTCTAATATATTTTGCTGTCTGGGTATATGCACGTGTGGGTTTGTTTTTCCTAAATTAATAAAATTTGTGAGAACAAAGAGTAATAGTTATCATTTCATCTAAAGCTCCATTGTACTAACACAGCATTTAGGGACATCATTTTAAATTCAATACAATGATCCCAAACAATGAAAGTAGAGTTTAAAACTGCATATGAATCATTAGCCAAAGGAAAAAGTGGCAGATGCTCTAATTCAGCTCACACAGTTTTTTCCTTCTTGAAATATCTTCTGGATTTTGTTACATCTCATAAAAGAAAATATGCCGTATGTTGAAGCAACTCACCAAAAGCCAGATTTTTCTGTTGTATGTTTTTGTATTGATGACTTCTTTGCTATTATTAATAAATTGCATGCACAGTACCTCCTACAATTAAAACTTTCTCACAATTTTTCTCTGTTCTTTTTAAGGTAGTGAATGACTCTCACAAAATAAAATTTAAAAGGGAGCCAACTAACATTATTTTTCTAGCTTGCAAGAAATTTTGGAGGAGACATAGAGATGCCCTTGAGGAAGAGACAGACCTGAGTGGTATATTCCATGACTGTGTAATTTATTTTACAAATAATGGTTGACCTTGGAGACAGGGCCCTTGGAGAATTATGACTGAATTTGTCATAATGAGCTATTAAGCAAATAGTTAGAAGAAACTTCCTTTATAATTTAAAATGAAATTTATTACATGTCGTTAATGTGTTGTCATTTATATTTTAAAAAGTTAAACACTGTAAAAGCTTAATTTCTGGAAAGACAAAAATAATATCACTCTCTTGGGCTGGCAGATGGCATGGTGGTTAAGGGCGCTGGACTCCCACATGGTTGACCATGGTTAAGTCCTGGACCTGGTAGCTTGCTTTCTCACTTTCTTTCTCTCTCTCTCTCTCTCTCTCTCTCTCTCTCTCTGTACCTCTCTGGTCAAATTAAAGAACAAACAAACAAACAAACAAATAAACAAAGTTAAATAAGATAATTCTTTAGAAAAAGAAAAGTCATGATGTGTCTTTTTAAAAAATCACTCAATTATACTGAAATAATCTGTATATACTGTTTATACTTCTTTTAGATATTTTCAATTTAATTTTATATGCTTGTGTATGTTTTTAGAAGTATATTTGCTACTGTACTTTTTAGTCTTTTTATTATACTCTAAATATAAATTAGTTATAATAGGTATAATTATGGAATGGAAGGCCTAAAGACATACTATGTATATCGATGGTGTTTATACGTCTAGCTATGTTCTCAAATAGAGCTACATAGATCATAAACTGGTATTTTCTATTTATCTATGTAATTACTGAGCCTACTAATTAAGTGTACATAAATCAAGGAACAAAATAAACTGGTGTTTAATATAGTCACAATAAAATGGTACCACATGGACTATTGACCAGGAAACCTTGAAATATGTGTACAAGTAGAGGCAACTGAAAACAGATATTATCAAAAATATCCAAAGTGAATCAGCATTCTGTTCACTAATGTAGGTGTATTTAGCCATGTTAGTAGCCTAAGGTTAAGCAGATAATTAAGGTTAGTGTTTACTCTTTTTGTTATGTTTGCTATATTGGAAGCTATTATTTTTTGTTTCTTAAAAAGAGATTTTTGCTATAGAGTATATACACTTGCCAGAGAGAGAGATACTCTAATTCAGCTCACGCAGTTTTTTCATTCTCAAAATGTCTTCTGGAATTTGTTATACCTCATAAAAGAAAATATAAGTGAGACAGTGAGAGAAAGCAAGAAATCCACCCCCCCCCCCAAAAAAAAGGGGATGGCCATGCTGCAATTCCTTTTCCTCCATTCTCCTCCTGGAATTTTAGGCATGCATACTCAGTCAGCCTGGATCACAGGCTTGCATATAACTGGAATGTACAATGAGGTCCCAGGACATGAACCTATGTGAGTTCAGTTGTGTTACTAATTGGAACACCAACTGGCTCATAATTATGATTATCTTCAGTCTGTGGCAAAACATTTTGAAATTAGCCTGAAATTGCAAAAGGCTAACAATAGCCAGTCAGTATTTTAGAAGGAAAAAATCTTGAGAATCTGTGTTTCACAATACCAGGTCTAATAACAACACTGCATTAACTCATATCGTGTGATAGTGTAAGGACAATGTAGTATCTGTATATAATCTATGCACATATTCCATATACTTTAAATCATCTCTGTATTACTTATAATACCTAATACAATGTAAGTGCTATGTCAGTAGTTCCTACACTGTAACTTTTAAATTTGTATTTTTTTCTCTTATATTGTTATTTTTCATTTTCATATTTTTAATCTATAGTCGCTTGAGTCCATAGATTTGGAACCCCCAGATATGAAAGACTAACCCTACAACCATATTATCAACATGATAAATCCTGATGAAAAGAAAAAAACATCCCATTTGGAACCAGGTTTGGCTCTGAAAAGAAGTGTCAAGTTATGGGTTATGCATGCAGAAATAAAAACAAACAAGCAAATAGAAATGATGACAAACAGAAAGGGTGACAAATAGAAATTATGACAAGTCCTTTATTTTTCAACTTGTTCCCAGACTCACTATGGTGCCCTTTTTTATGAAACCATATATTTAGATTATCATTTACTCTACCTACTAATAATGCTGCTAAAATCATAGCAATATTCATGGCAGCTTGGAGCAACTGCAAAGATTTATTTTGACCTGAGATAATTAAGAATCATGATTGGTCAATATTTTTGTTATTTGGAAACATAACAATAAAGGTATGGGTAAGACAAGGAGAAGGGGAAAGCACTATTCAATTAAGGATGATTTGGGAAGAAATCTACAATGTGCAAAAGTGAAGCTTACTTGAAGGACAGCTAGAAATAAACATGAAATTTATCACTATTGTTATACATTATGAGTGTTGAAAATTCTGTTGCATTTCCCTAACTGTTGTATTCTTAAGATATATAATTTTGTGTTTTCACAAAACACTCTGTGGTTAAAAAATAAATAAGTAATAAAATTTTATTTGAAAATAAAATGATTAATTTGGGAGGAAACAAGTGACATTTAATAGATATGAATGAATACATAACAAATGGAGTTCATCTACCTGTGTTCTAGTTATTTTGTAAGCTTTAACCATGATTGACAAGCGACAAGCACAGAAGACAAGTTCTAATTTCTAGCCTCAACAAATCAATTAAGTAGGTGAACAAAATAATTAAGTAATTATTAGAAAATTTCAGTCAACCAATCAGACATAATGTATTCATCTTTAATAATAAAATTAAAATGTGCCCCACAAGATAAACTTTATACGTAGTCTTTGGTACTTTTAAATATTAAAGTCAATTTTTCATCTCTACATCCCTGTAATCACTTAAACATTTTTTAATGAACAAATACCATGAGGTTTGAAGTTAAGAACACAGTAAATAATCTATGACTTCGGAAGACAGTAACAGTGGTTAGATAAAAGAAACAAAAGGAGAATAAACATAGAAGAGAATTAAAGAAAAAATCATTTCTGAAGTTAGTGGTGCAAAAGGATAAAGTAAAAATAAAGTACATGAACTCAAGGGAAAGATTATATGCCAAAATTTTTCTGAACCAACAAGAAACAAAATTTCAAGCACACTGCAAATCAAGACACTGCAAATTGTAGACAAATGCAAGAGCTAGACCAGACCCATAGCCTCGCAGTTAAGGAAACCAGGTCTTATGTAGCAACTGTAGTTTGAATCCCACTCAGCAGCTTGGAAAACATGCCAAGCATGGGTGCATGTGTGCTGAGAATTCTTACATGATGGAGATAAGGAGGAGAGGGATTGCAACATGACCATTGAAAGTCTGTGTCTCTCTCTGGGGCATGCATTCCCTCTGGCAATAAAGCATTACCAAAATAGTTACAGGCTATTATCACAGCATGAACATTTCTGTCACTACAAATACACAAAAAATTGCATGACGCTTTTTTGGAGACGTTTTTGCTATAGGGCGCATGCGCTCACCAGACAGAGAGATAAAAAGCGAGAGATCACCCCCCAGGGGGGATAGCCACACCGCAATCCCTTCTCCTCCATTCTTCTCTCTGGATCTTCCGCACGCATGCACATGCGCCTGGTGAGAGTTTAAGCCACCGGGTCTGGGACTCAAACTGCGGTCGACTACATGGGAGCCCAGCGACATAGCCATTACGCTAACTGCTGGCCCCAGAATTGCATGACACTTTTAAAGAAAATGTTTTTATTTTCCACAATCAATATTTAACTGTAATTCAACTCCAAACTGCTCTCTTACCCAATAAAATTATTGTTTATTTGTCTATAAATATGTCAAAAACTTTCATATATATTGGTCTGACTGGTTCAACTTCTTAAAAGTAAAGTTATAATTATTCCTTGAATTAGTTAAGACAATTATATTATGATTTTACATTATATTATACTAATCAAAATTGATATTTTAAGGGAAAATAAAATGAATGTTTTACTAAAGTGGTGTGTCAAAATCTGGCTTGAGGTTAGGAGTTAAAGGATCCAGTGAAGGCAGTAAACATCCACCTTTGCAGTACTGTTATTAAGCACAACTTAATTCTATTTAAACCATATCATAACTAGTAAGACTCTAAATACGACCTGCTTCATAAGTCTGATTCCTCAGCTAGAACATTTTGAAAAATGATTTCCAAAAAGACCGTTCAATTAGAATGGGCTATGTCTGTATTTAACTAAAGATAATTATAAGACATCCTGAGCATGAAAACTTGTGGCATATGCACTATTTCATTAATTTAAAGCACAGTCATATTCACGTAAGTAATACAAAACTATCATCTGCAAATACAAGAAAAAGTAGATCTATTTTGTATATAAATAAATATATATTAATTTGAATTAAATAGAATGAGAACGTAGTTTGGAGTTGATTAACTTCTTGAATGTCTGCTTCACATCTTTGTTCCTAAGGCTGTAGATGAGGGGATTCAGCATGGGAACCACAGTGGTGTAAAACACAGTGGCTACTTTGATGAGAAGCAATGAGCGTGCAGAGTTGGGTCGTAAAGATTATGAAGACATAGGAGGCCAGGATAATCAGGAGGCTGCAAGCCTCATTGAAGACAGAAATTACTAAACAAACCATCAGGCTGAAATAGGTGTCAGAGCAGGATAGAGAGAGAATGGCAGAGTACTCGCATCCAAAGTGATTGATGATATTAGGTCCACAGTAAGACAGTTCCAACAGAGAACATGTGAGTATCAGGGAACAGAGTGCTCCCCATAAATAAGTCCCTGCTACCAGGAGAGCACAGAACTTGCGAGATATTGCAACTGTGTAGAGCAAGGGGTTACAAACAGCCACAAACCGGTCATAAGCCATCACTGCTAACATGAACATTTCTGTAACCACAAATGTGCAGCCAAAGAAAAACTGTGTCATGCATCCTGTGAAGGAGATAGTTCTGTCTTCCACAACCAAGATTTCTAACAGTTTGGGTGTGCTGACCGAGGAATAGCAAATATCCAAAAAGGACAACTGGCTGAGGAAAAAGTACATGGGTGTATGAAGTTTAGGATTTATTCTTGCAACCACAATTAAGCCCAAATTTCCCACCAGTGTGACTGTGTAGATAGTCAAAAACACCAGAAATAGGAGTGCCTGGAGTTTTGGGTATTCTGAGAAGCCCAGGAGGACAAAAGGGGCTCCAACACTCAGATTTCCCTCATTTGGCATTCTGATTCCTGTGGGAGGAAACCTGACGGCTCATCCTAAGCAGCTGGATACCACAGAAATAAGGGGGTATTAGGGCATGAAGGTGGGTTCCCAGAACCTGAAGTATGATGTGCACAATGCCTATTTCTGTTTTGGTTTTGGGCTCTTTTCTTGGCCTCTTTTTAATCTTTAGTTACTTATTGAAGGTTTGAACATGGATTATTTCTTTACCCATCAGTAATTCATTTTCCTCATCTATAAAAGAAGAAATATAGTGATTATCTCATAAAGTTCTCTTACAAGTTATATAGTTATATGTGCAAACTAAGCGATTATGATATTTCTGCCCGTTATCAAATGTCTGATATGAACTAGCATATAAGTTCCATTGAAAAATCAGTTTTAGAGGAATGAAACAGAAACAAGAAAACACATTTTAGTGCTCAGTCATAGAACAGATAAAATAGAATGCTCAATAGCTTCTGTCACTAGGGATATTAAGAGTAGAGTATTTGCACACTGGTATTTCTTATTTTTAAGACAATGTCAAGAAAGTTACAGAAGTAAACATCCTCATTTAAATTTGTTCTAAATTATCATTCCCAATTCTATATGAATGTTTTAAAGGGTTAGTTTTCCTTAGGAATAACCCATAGTATGAAGTAGTGCAAATAGAGAATAGGAAGTGAAAATTTCTTGTCAAAGACATTTAAAGCAATGTTTCCTGATTATGTTAATTTTTCTTTCTGTCTTAGATACAGATTTCCACAAATACTTCAATGGTTCAATGTGAAATCTTTACTTTCTCTTTTTATTATTTATTGCTCTTGTCTGTCTTTTTTTTGATTGCCTTCTCATCTCAGATTCAGGATGTGAGAAAAGCAGTTATGGCAAAATAAACGCAATCTCCAGAATGTGCTTCTGTCTTCATTTCTGTCCCAGCACCCAATACTCAGCACACTAACAAAGGGTCTTCAGATACCCTGCCTTCTTTCACCCTAGAAAGCTAACTTCCTTTACTGTAGAAAGTTGCACAGATCCTTATACATTTTCCAAATGAGCTTCTTACAAAACACCTGATCTCTAAACACTTCTGTCTGAATTTCCATTGACCTATACTGATACACCTTCCATTTTACTCACACCACCATTTTCAAGCTTCATGAAAAACAGGATCTTTTATCATTTATTATCATCAAATTATCTCTTCTGACTGGAATAGCCTGTTTGTTCATCAAATACTAAGCACTATTACCTTTTCATGTCAAAATCAAAGCAACACTGTTTCAGTAAAGTAATTATTTCAATTTTCTAAGTCATACTTTCTAAATTTATGTCTACCTATCTGGCTTTAAAATTTCAATTTTTATATAAATATGACATATTTCTCTGTAGTTTTATAAAATTTTAAAATCTTCTTCTAAAAGATTTTTAAAGGTTGAGTACAAATAATTAATACTATAATACCCACCACTGTGACCTAACATTAAGTATATAAAGGACATTTGAAACACATTCATGCAAAGATTCTTAAAGATGTAGGAAATAGAGTTCAATACCTTGTATTCTTATTCTCATTTCAACTAGAGAACTACTTGACTGCTACTGGACCAACATAGTTGTTTCTTTGTCAAAAATATTATATTTCTTATTTCAGACATTCTCATCAGAACTAAACTACAATAGGTTAATAATTCACTAGATGGCAGATACTCTTTATAAGCTCATTCACTAAGACTTCTTTAATTCAATTAATAAAATTCTTAAATGTTTTTATAAAAATAAGCACTTTGTAAATCGGCAATGGTTTTATGCAAAGTGCAAGTTACTGAAGGTGCCAAAAATTTATAATTTTCTCTTTAAAAAAAAATCAAGGGGGCCAGATAGTGGTGCAGGAGTGAAATGTAACACTTTGTGAGTTTGACCCACGCGGGAAGGTTCTGGGTTTACATCCAGTGTCTTCCCTGAGTGTACCAGGCACACACTTGCCCATAAACTTGAGCGGCTGAAGTTGAGGGTGGATCTTGATGTAAAGACTCTCCTGAAGTTTTCTCTTTTTCGGTCTTTTTCAGTCTCTCTCATGTATATAAAAAAAAAAATTAAAAATTGGACAATATAGAGATCTTTTCAAAAGTGATTAAGACTTATAAACTAAGATATTATGTTGTGTCTTTTAAATAAGATAAGAAACTTGGGGAATCACACCCTAGAGAATATTGGCCAGGTGTTTGTCAGGAGCTACAAACAAGATAATTTGAAGAAAAATCCCTTCTTACTAATTTAGAATATAATTAATGTAAAATTATCTAATCATGTGTGAAGGTTAAATACACTGATCATCTGGCCTTAGAAAATAATACTTAACAATGAGGCTATAATTTCACAGCTATTTATGTATTATTAAAAATATTGGGATCAGCAGACTAGTCCTTCACTGGATTTGCATGTAGTCGACCATAGTTTGAGTTTCAGACCCTAGAGCTTAAAACTCTTGCCAGGTGCATGTGTGTATGTGCCCAAAATCCTGAGAGGAGAATGGAGGAGAAAGGATTGCAGTGTGGCCATCCCCCAGGAGGTGATTTCTTACTTACTATCTCTATACCTCTCTCTGTATCCACACACCCTGAGAAGTACAACAAGAGGAATGTAGTCCTAGAGCTTATTTCCCTCATCTAGTACCATGATCTTTTTTTTCTTTTTGAGAGGTTTTTGCTATAAGGTGTGTGCACTCACCAAAAAGACAGAGAGAGACAGAGACAGAGAGACAGAGAGCAAGAAATCACCCCCCCCAGGGGGTATGGCCACACTGCAATTGCTTCTCCTCCATTCTCCTCTTGGGATCTTGGGCACGCATGCACACGCACCCGGTGTCAGTTTAAGCCACCGGGTCTGGGACTCGAACCGTGGTCGGCTACATGGAAGTCCTATGACATGGCCATCACGCTAACTGCTGGTCCCCGTACAATGATCTTTGACAAGAAAGGAGAGAGGGAAGGATAGAAGGAAAGAGAGGAAAAGAGAGAGAGAGGAAAATTTAACAGCAGAACCTGAGAAGGTGTTATGAAAATAACTCAGACAAGGCTCAGTGTAACCATGAACACAAACTTGATCACTTGGTGTTCATGAACATGCTGCTTCACTTTGGAGTTTTACTTGGTAACTTGCTATCTTTGTTGAGTGTAGAAAATAGCAACATCCTTCAGTGCTTTAGTTTCCTTATCTGGAAAATTCAAATATTATAATCAATATTAATATTTTATATAAATCACATGTTAGTGAATGTGATACTTAGAACACTGAATACATCACAATAATAATGCAATCATAGGATAACAAAGGAGACATGATTCAAATTAGAGATGTATTGAGCACAAAGTTATGAGACCATGGGAGAGAAGTCCTGGGTAAGAACAACATTTTAAAATGTTAAAAAAAAAAAAAAAAAAACATAATGTGGGGCCTGGAGGTGGTGTAGTGGTTAAGGCCTTGAACTCCCACAGGGTTGACTGTGTTCAAGCCACCGAACATGATGGCTTGAAACTCAAACCAGGTGTGTGTGGGCACGTGCCCAAATCCCGAGAGGAGATTGTGAAGGGATTTCATGGTTGCCATTTCCCCTGTGGGGGGTGATTGCTTGCTTTGATTTTCTGTCTCCTGGACAAGTGCCCACATCTTATACCAAAAATCTAAAAATAAATAAATAAATAAAAGGAAGGATATTGGAGGGACATTTACTGAACATCACATGTTTAGTTACATATATTGAAAAAAAAATGATCATCTTTCAATAGAGGAACTTAGATTACTCTAAGCTGGAGATTACTCTAACCAGGCACATTAAGGTTTTATTTCTTTTACAAGTATAATTAAATTTGTTTATCAAAAAAAGTATAGTATTTTAGAACTAGGGCCAATGGTCAGTTTTTAAAATAATACTAATATTTATGCAGACTAAGGATTTCAATAAACTATTTGTTACTAATGCAAGGAAGCTGTATAAAATCATTACAAAAATAAAGTTTCTAGAACTTGGATAGAAGAAAGAATCCCTAGAATTGTTATATCATCCTATGCCTAAAAAATTACCTTTCAGCACCAGTAGAGTAATGGTTATGTCACTGGATTTCCACATAGTCAACCTTGGTTCAAGTACTGGACTTCTAGGTTTGAAACTCATGCTGAGCATGTGTACGTGAGTGCCTAAAATCCCAAGAAGAAATTGGCAGAGAAAGGATTGCTTTGTGGCCATCCTCCTGGGGGTGATTTCTTGTTTTCTTTCTTTCTCTCTCTCTCTCTCTCTCTCTGTTTCTCCAGTGAGTGCACACACCTTATAGCAAAGAAAATCTCTCTTAAAAACAAAAACAGTGACCTTTCTGAAAAACTTTAAATCACGATTAACACAAGGCTTGACAAACTAAAAATAAAAATAATAAAATATTTTATAATGTCTCTCTTTATTTCCACTGTAACCTACTGTCATCCAGATAAAAGATCCTTTCCTAGCTTCTGAAATTGCAATCTGACTATCCCTATCCTTTAATATTGTAGTCTATGTACTTTTGACAATATGTTATTACAAAATGAATTTAATTGAAACTATTATACATATATTTCCATAATGTCCCCCAGAAAATATATAAACAAATTATTTTGTCAATGAACATAATCCTCTATCCATATCTGTATTTTAAAATTTTATTCTATTAAACAATTATGTCCTCTTATCCATCAAAATTGCCCCTTTTCTCCTCCAATGTTTTATAACTTATCATCTCTCAATGGTAATTTACCTACAAAGTTTTTCTAACAAAATTTTTTCCAGTCAATAGAAATATCATTTTTCTTCTATTCTGTTGTTCTTGCATCTATAATGCCACAATTAAAAAAAAAAATCCAGCAGATTTTGCTGTGTGTAAGCATGTATGTGTGTATTTTATTTTATTTTTCCCAAAATCATTAAAATTAGATTTCATCTAAAACCTTTAGCATACTAATAGAACATTTAGGGACAGAGTTTCAAATTTGGTACAATGATCCTACAAACAAAGAAAGAAGATTTTAACACTTTTTTGCATATGAATTATCAGCTGAAATAGAAATAGTTATTAAGTACTCCAACTTGGCTCACACAAAATTTTCCTTCTCAAAAAGTCTTCTGAACTTGCTATATCTCATTGAAGAAAATATGCCTTTCACCAAAGCCACTCCCCCAGATCAGATTTGCCTGATGTACATTTTTTTGTACTGATTGCTTTCTTGCTCTTATTAATAAATTGTATGCATAATCTCTCCTAAAATTGAAACTTTTGAATTTTTTTTCTATTTTGTCAAATGTAGTGAGTGATTTGTGTAAAAGAGGATTTTAAAAAGGAGCCAGCTAATATTATTTTTCCAGCTTTTAAGAAATTTTGGAGAGGGCATAGAGATGTCCTTGAGACAGATCTGAAAAGTAAGTATATTTCAGGAACCAGCAGTTAGCGTAATGGCTATGTTGCTGGATTCCCACATAGTCGACCATAATTCGCATCCCGGACCCGGGGTCTAAAAACTCACGCCGGGCGCATGTGCATGTGTGCCCAAGATCCCGAGAGGAGAATGGAGGCGAAGGGATTGCAGCGTGACCATCCCCCCTGGGGGGTGATTTCTCGCTTTCTGTCTCTATGTCTCTCTCTGTCTGTCTGGCAAGGGCACGCACCCTGTAGCGAAAAACCTCAACAAAAAAAAAAAAGTAAGTATATTTCGTGATTGTGTTGTTTATTTTATGAATAACTGCTTGACCTTGGAGACAGAAACCTTGGGGAATTATGACTGAATTTGTCATAATGATCTACAAAGTAAATAATTAAAAGAAATTTCCTCTTTAATTTACAATGGAATTTCTTACATGGCATCAATGTATTGTCATTTATGTTTTAAAAAGTTTATCTATGTAGAGGCTGTATTGATGGAAATGACAGAAATAATACCACTCTCAAATGTATTAAAATAATCTGTATATATTAACTAGACTTCTTTAAATCTTTTTGTTTTGATTTTATATGCTTGTGTATGTTTTTACACTTGGGACTGTAGTGTATATATTCTATTAATAAATATATATATTTATATTACACATATAATTACTCTTTAGTCTTACAGTTATATATGAATATAAATGAACTATTGTAGGTATTTTTAATTATGGGATTGAAGGTATAAAGATGTTTTATGTATCAAAACTGTGGTCATAAGTCCAGCTGTGTTCTGAATTACAGCTATATAGGTCATGGAGCTGATGTTTAAAATTAGTCTATGTGATAACTGCATATACTAATCAGTAGGACACAAATCATGGAACAGAAGTAACTTATGTTTTATATAGTCTCAATAAAATGCTACCATAGGAGTCATGGGCCATGAACTCTTGAAACATGTGTATAATTGAAAACCTATATTATTGAAAGTATTCAAAGTGAATGAACATTCGGGAAGAGCTAATGTAGAAGTATTTAACCATGTTAGTGACCTAAAAGTAAGCAGATAATAAGGGTTAGTGTTTACTATTTTTTGTTATGCTTACTGTATTTGAAGCTTATTATTATTATTATTATTAAATATAGCAAAATGGGAAGTTTATTGAAGGAGACAGAAAGAAAGAAAACTGGAGCTCCCAAGAACGGAATAGTCCTGGAAAATGGGTTGCCAAGGAGGAATGGGAAGCACAAGTGGAGAAGAGATACAGAGCATGCTTATGGGAAAAATCATTTATAAAGTTAGTCCTGCAAAGAACTAATGTGACTAAAAAAAATTGAATGCTAAGGGAGAGATTATATGCTAAATTGTTTTGAACCAACAAGAAATAAATCTTCAGGGAAACTTAAAATCTATAGCCAAACGTAGGAGTTGGACCCTAGTCTAGCAGTTAAAGGTTCCAGGTTATGTAGCTAACTGCAGTTTGAATCTCACCAAACAGCTTGGAAAATATGTCAGACATGGGTGCATGTGTGCTCTAAATCCTGACATGAGATTAACAGGAGGGAGACTGTCCCCTGACCATTGAAGGGTGTTTTCTCTCTATCTCTGGGCATGCAATATTACCATTGAAGGGTGCGTTCTCTCTCTTTCTTTCTCTCTTTCTCTCTGTCTGTCTCTCTCTTTCTCTGGACACATATGCCTTCTGGCAATAAAGTAGTTCCAAAAACATTTACAGACCATTATTACAAGCATGGGCATTTCTGTCACTACAAATATACACAAAAAAACCTGCATGATATCTATTAAAAAAAAGTTTTTGTCTTCAACAATCAATCCTTGGGTATAATACAACTCCAAACTGCTCTTTTACTCGATAAAAAATGAGTTCTTTATAAAGATGCCAAAAAACTTCATATATATATATGACTAGTTCAAATTTTTAAAAGTAAAGTTACATTTATTCCCTGAATTACTTTGACATTTATGTCATGGTTTCATGTCACATTGCACTTATCAAAATAGTTATTTTAAGGGGAAATTAAAACTAATGTTTTACTGAAATGATGAGTCAAATACTGATTTGAGATTTGGATTTAAATGATCCAGTAAAGACAGTAAATGTTTATGCTTGCAGTAAAATTATGCACAACTTAATCCTATATAAACCATAGAATAAACAGTAAGATACAATATAACAATGACTTCATAAATATGATTTCCATATGTCTAGTTAGAACATTTTGAAATATAATCCTTGTCAAAAATATCTGAGACAAAGTGAATTGAAGGGCTATATCTGCATTCAACCATAGGTAATTGTAATACATACTGAACATGGAAAATTGGGACATATGCAATATTTCATTGATACAAAGCACTATCATTCACTCAATTAATACTAAGCTGTCATCTGCAAATACCTAAAGTAGATACAGTTAAATATAAATTAATATATATTAACTTGAATTATATAGAATGAGAATGTAGTTTGGAGTTGATTAACTCCTTGACTGTCTCCTTCACATCTTTGTTTCTAAGGCTGTAGATGAGGGGATTCAGCATGGGGATAATGATGGTGTAAAACACGGTGGCCACTTTGATAAGAAGCAGTGAGCGTGCAGAGTTGGGCACACAGTAGAGAAGGAGGATGATCCCATGAAAGATGGAGATAGCCGTCAGATGAGAGGAGCAAGTAGAGAAGACTTTACGGAGTCCACCTGTAGAGGGCATCCTGATGATAGTGATGATTATGAAGACATAGGAGGCCAGGATGATGAGGAGGCTGCAAGCCTCGTTGAAGGCAGAAATGACTAAAGAAGCCATCAGACTGAAGTAGGGGTCAGAACAGGATAGAGAGAGTACAACGGAGTACTCGCAGCCAAAGTGATTGATAATGTTAGGTCCACAGTAGGATTGCTCTAAAAGAGAACACGTGACAATCAAGGAACAGAGTGCACCCCATAAATAAGACCCAGCTACCAGGAGAGCACAGAGCTTGTGAGACATCACAACTGTATAGAGCAAGGGGTTACAGACAGCCACAAACCGATCATAGGCCATCACTGCTAACATGAACATTTCTGTAATCACATATGTACAGGCAAAGAAAAACTGTATCATGCATCCTTTGAAAGAGATAGTTCTGTCTTCTGAGATTAAGGTCTCTAACAATTTAGGTGTAAGTGTAGTGGAGTAACAGATATCTAAAAAGGACAGATGGCTAAGGAAAAAGTACATGGGTGTATGAAGTTTGGAACTTATCTTTGTGACCACAATTAAGCCCAAATTTCCTACTAGTGTGACTGTGTAGATGGTCAAGAACACCAGGAAGAGAGGAGCCTGGAGGTGTGGATAGTCTGAGAAGCTCACCAAGATGAATGTGGTCACAGAGCTCTGATTTCCCTTATATAGGACCATGTCCCTTGACAAGCAGAAATGGAAGGAAGGATAAATGGAACGAAGGAAAGAGGTTGACAAATAAGAGTAAGAGGAAGTGCAAAGCCTATACTCAGGAGGAGCTCAGCGCTACGAGTTAAAACCAATGTCATCCATTTTTGTTTATAGACATGCTGCTTCACTTTGGAGTCTAATCTTTCATATGATTAACCTAAAACAAAAACAAAATAACTGATTATGGAAATAAATATTGAGATGCAAGAGATAATGATGCTGGCTTCTTGCTCATATCTGAGAACAGGTCCACTTCTAGCACTGTCTGTAGCAAGCAACCCTTTACCATCAAACATGCCACTACTAATTCCACACATAGCTATGAAATCTCACTTTCCAACAGTCTGGAAATTGTGTGCTTCTTTTGTGAACTTCATGCATTTAGTCCCATGTGTTGATTGATTATGCTTGTCTATAAATTGAGAAATTTGATTTGTTTTATTCAGTCAAAACCATATGAATTAAAATGTTTGAGAAATTGCTCTTCACATCTACTCATACTGCTGCGAGGAAGTTAGATGCACCCACTATATCAGAGAAGGTTCTGTGACTTGGATTGGAGGAAGAATCACTGCACTGGTTAGGTCGTCTTCTAGCTAACAGAAACTAAATGACCTTTCTGGAAGATTGTAATCAAAGATTAAGAAAAGACTTGGTACTCTGAAAAGCATCTATTTGCTGAACATTTTTTGAGCATGATGTTTTTGTTTATTTTCTGCATACGTCTCTATAATTCTTTCCAGGAATAGACTTTGGGAGATGCCAATATATCATTGACTTTTCTGGAACATAACTATTCTGTGAAACAAATATGCCTAACTGCATAAGCCTTGTCCTCTGTGGTTTCTTTTTCTTCATATGCCTATTTTTCAGTCTCCCTTAGCAATATTGATGGTGCCCATTCTATACAGAAAAGCCTTCTCTACACATCAAATGATCTCTCTTCAAATGCTGTCAGTAAAATTTGCTATGGGCACAACCATTATAGTTATTCTTATGTCCACAAATTTATCTTAAAATATAGTTATTTATAGGGTAAGCAGGTATCATGATAGTTAAGGCAGCTGGATCCTATGTGGCTGACTTCATAGTTCAAATCCCAGATTCTGAAGCTTGAGAATCACACACCAGGCATGTGTGTGTGTGTGTGTGTGTGTGTGTGTGTGTGTGTGCCCAAAAGCCTGAAAGAAGAATGGTGGAGAAGGAATTGTGATTGGCCAGCCCCACACTGGGGGATGGTTTTTCACTTTCTGTCTCTCTCTTTCTTTTTCTTTTTTTTGGAGAGGTTTTTGCCATAGGGCGCATGCGTTTGCCAGACAGACAGAGAGAGACAGAGAGACAGAAAGCGAGAAATCACCCCCCAGGGGGTATGGCCATGCCGCAATCCCTTCTCCATTCTCCCCTTGGGATCTTGGGCAGGTACACACATGCGCCCGGTGTGAGTTTTAAGCCACCGGGTCCGGGACTCTGACCGCGGTCAACTACATGGGTCCAGCAACATAGCCATTACGCTAACTGCTGGTCTCTGTCTCTTTCTTTTTCTCTGTCTCACTTGAAAACAAATACCCTATAGCCAAAACTTACAAAAAAAAAATTTACCTATTGCATGTACATGTATTTCCCAATCCAAATGGTTTTAACAGTATTTCTAATTCATGTACAATGAAGCCAACTATTTTTATATCATAGATCTTCAAATATTTGAAGACATTTTACATGAACTTTTAATTTTTCTTTAAAATTTCTAAATAAATTTTTAGTGTTTACTTCTTGTTGTTGTTGTGGTAGTTCTTTTTCATTTTCTTCCTAACACTGATGACTACTTCTTCCAGTTAATGTAATTATATTACAGAATAATTATTGAATCTCCATGCTGATATTGAAACTAAAACTCACTTCCTCAGGAGCATCCTGCAAGGTCAAGAGGCAATGAATTCAATAATCTTCCTTTGCTGTATATCTTATAATGTTCTCATGTTAACCAAGAGCATACCAAGAATTTGAAGTGCCTTAGATCAATTTACTGCCATGTCATCTTTTGTGCATGGTTTAGTGGTAAGCCACTTCATGCTTGTGTATTTGAAATTTTCTAACAAATTTCAGGATTGTGCATTTATTATTTCATTTCATGCATTTTTTTAAATTTTATCTATTTATTTATCTTTTTTATACATTCAATCACAGTATTTAGCTTACAAAGTTAACATTTCAATATGTGAACATTTCTTCCCCATCCAGTTGATCAAAATATAACAACACTACTTCCCTGCCCTAACAATGCTCTGTCTTCGTATCTCTCCTCCAAATGTCCTTGCCCAGGCCCCACTCCTCCACACACATCACATCTGGCATTCACACCCCACTTAATATATACGGAGTGTCCACACTCTATGACTGAAACTGACGGGCTAAAGGATGTACAAACTCATTTCATACATTGTTTGAAGCTTTTCTTATCTCTGTTTGCTTCTTGCATAACACTTCTTTTACCGTAATTGGATCAACCCTCCATCACAGATACTTGCCTTTACTGAGGCTCCTTTGTCTGAACAAATGCCTTCCCTGTTTCTTGACGTTCTGTAAAATCATCAAACACCATTTGTGTCCATTCCATTTTTATAGACCTCGTTACAATTGGTTGAATAATTGTTAAATATTTTACATGTCAATTCATAAAGGGTACACATGTTATTCTGAGCATGCATATTAATTTAGATAATTATAAGGAGTCTTTACTACTTAGTAAAATTCAAGATCACCAAAGATGAATGTAACTCTTCTTCACCCATCTCATAATTATTTTGACAGCCAGATCCACATTGTATATTCATTCATTCACAAGTAAAACTGATACTGAAAATGTGTAAGACAATATTTGTTAATATAAAGTTATAATGATAATTTCAGCACAGTACATATGGTATTATTTCAGATTAATTTAGCTTGGTACTGGAAAAGATTACCACAGCTGAATGAATAATCTGTGTCCTTATTTATGGCAAGGTGAACATCAACAACAGCAAAAACTTGCGCTATCCCACCATACCGATTGTCAGAAACTCTAATCTTGGCTGGATTTTCTATTCATTGAGGAAAGCTGATTTCAACGTACGGAGAAAAGGTAGCATCATATTATAGTGTATTTAGGGAATGTGAGCTTAGGAGGCTGATGCCATTAATAAAGATTCTGCTTCTTTCAATACGTGTATAACCTTGGCAAATGGTTAAATTGTCTGAGCCTCAACCGTATCATCTGTGAAATGTGGATAACAACGTATGGTAGGTCCTTTAATGTTTAGTATGAGCTTTAAATGAGGTTTAACTTCAAAATATCAGGACACAAATTTATACTTAGTAAAACTCCCTCCTCAAATATTAGCTTGTTTCCTTATTAATATACCAATATGCTAATATCCCAGAAAATAGTAACAATCAATTCTAAATTTTGAAAATGCCACTGCAGTAAATATATGGGAAACTATTTTTGAAAAGATATTATATCCTAGAATTCTTTTAACTTTAGGCTTTTGTCTCAATCTTGTATACATATTTTATTTATTTCTCAATCCTCCAATACATCACCTGCATTTTAGCATTCCTATCTTTTTTTCAGAATTATTATCCAATTTTATTTATTATTATCATTGCTATTATTTTTAAGAATTTTGTATAGGGCACATGCACTCACCAGAGACAGAGAGAGACAGAGAGGAAAAGTGAGAAAACGAGCCTCCAGGTCAAGGACTCGAACCACTGCTGGCCATGTAGATATACAGTGCCCAAATCACCACACCACCATTTGGCCTTTAGCATTCTGTTCTAATTATTAGTTATTCCTTATCCTCTTATTGTCATTTAAGGTCTATGACTTTAAATGAAATTAGACAATCAGTGGAAAAAATTTAAAAAGAGATACCTTCAAAAAGTCTTGTTCTCTTCTTGTCTATTGTCATTAACTGTATATTGATTGGATATAAAATTTCTGACCTATGTAACTGCAGTCTAATCTGTAGTATTAATTATTATCAACTCTCTCTTAGCCTAGCATACAATAGTGCAAATATATTTGAATTAAATGAAAATAAATTAAACCCTTTGGCACACATTTTTATAATATATCCAGGAACTACAAAACAAAGTATTTGAATTAAATGAAAATAAATTAGTCCTTTTGGCACATATTTTATAATATATCCAGGAACTACAAAACAAAATTATTTTGACTCTGAACATTATTTTATTCATAGTAGTATTTTAAATATTTACAAGTGCAAGTCATACTTTCTAATCTATTGTGTATGCTTTGAAATGGCACCTTTTAATTTACATAGCTCTTCCATGAAACTACTATTAATCCAAATGCTTTTTTCTAATTCTAGTGTTTCTTCTTTCATATTGTAATAATATTTATGCAATATTTAAAACACTTTGCTAGTATGTGTGCATGTCTTTTAGCTTATTTCCAAAAGTATATCACTTTTTAGGACAAGATTTAGATTAACATTTTTTTCTATAATTGCTGATGTATGTAACACAGCGATTAGAAATATATTTCTTTCTTAAATTTAATTTAATTTATTTTTTTTACATTTTTTAATATATTCAATCACATTTTTTAGCTTACAAGGTGATCATTTCAATATGTGAACATTTCTCCCTGGTCCAGTTGATCAAAATATAACAATACTACCTCCCTGTCTCAACAATGCTGTCTCCATATCCCTCCTCCAAATGTTTTTCCCCCAGGCAACTATGGCACATATATTCTATGGAATACTATTCAGTCATAAAAACCAACAAAACCCTGGCTTTTGACGGAAAGTGGAAGAATATGGAAGATTTACTGCTGAGTGAAGCAAGCCAGGCTGTGAAGGAGAGACACTTTATGTCCCCACTTAATATATACCGAGTGTCAGCACTCTGTAACAGAAATATATTTTCAAATATGGGCCTTGGAAGAATGAAAA